AGGGATCCAGGGGCAGCCACAGCTTCTCTGGGCACCCTGTGCCAGGGCCTSCCCACCCTCCCAGCCAGAATTCCTTCTTTCCCGAAATCCTACCTAACTCTGCTCTCCCCCAGCTTTAGGCCATTCCCTGGCTCCTGTCCCTCCATCCCTTGTCCCCAGTCTCTCCCCAGCTCTCCTGGAGTCCCTTCAGACCCTGGAAAGGCTCCACCATCTCCCCAGAACCTTCTCTCCTCCCAGCTGGACAACTCCCACAGCTCCTTACCACCATTTTAGCACCATGGAAGTATCCAAAGGAAGCCTTTTGTGCCACAGGAATTGTTTTTCCTGGTTTGTGTTCTTTGGGAAAACGAGGGTGAAGCCCCTGAAAAGGATTTATTGAAACGAGCATTAGGAAAGAGGAAGTGTTTGCTGCCATCTTCCCAGAAAACACGGGGAAAACAGAAYAATCGCCTTTTCCTGAAAAGGGCTGGGAAAGCTTTGTGAAAMCCCTTCCCAATTCCCTCTGGGAGGCTGAGGCCTGGCAAAGCTTTCTTTCCCCATCCCATTTATGGGATTACAATCATCCATAATGAGGATGGCAACCTGTGGGCAGGAAAAAGAGCTGAGTCTGGAACCCAGGGAACTTTGGGATTTTACAGAAAGCCCTCCCAGACAAGCCCTCGCCTTTCCTCCACTCCCCCTCGGCTGCTGTACAAGATAATTACAGCCCATGTTTTCCACAAACCTCTGTAACCCTTCGTGGGGAAGGCAAATATTGTGGCTCATCCAGCYGTGACTCAACGGGTAATTTGGGATGACAAGCAATTCCTTGGACGTCTGACTCCATTTAATGGGAGGATGTTACCCAACAGCAGCACCTTAGTCAAGAGCCCTTGAAATAACATCCCAGCACCTCAGCAGGGTTGAAATCCTGATGATTTATCCCTAGTATTTATGGGGTTTGTCAGCAGGAGCTCCTGGAGGGAGGCTCAGGGCACTTGGTTGCTGCAGAGTGCAAAGCAAAGCTCTGGTCCCACTCAAGAATCTGTGGGTGCACGGAGATTTTCTCTAAAATGCGGGAAAAAATGATTAAAGGATCCCTGCATAAGGACAAGAGACAGATCAGATGGAAATTYGGGGGAGAAGCTGCCACAGAGGGCYCTCAGCTGAGCTGGAATGCAAATCACTCCAATTTTTATGGGGTCTCATTGATTAACAACATCTAAATGCTTTCCCAAACCTCATCCTCACAGAAAAAAAAGCCCCACAAATACTTATTCTCCCTCCAGCTCTTGGAGCAGGTCTGTAATGAGGGCCTAGATTTTTGTGATTTTTAATGAGGGCCCCATTTTCCCCCATTTCCAAGTCCTGCCAGCTTCCAGCAGCCCAGGGCCATCATTTAGGGGTGATGATGGTGGGACTGGCTGCTCCTGGAGGTGTCTCCAGGATGGTTTGGGATTTTGGGATGAGAGCTTTTGTCAGGGAGCAGGCAAAGTGGAGAAGTGGGAGAAGGGTGGCCAGGAATGGAAATGCAGGAGACATCACTGAAAGCTCCTCCTCTGTCCCCCTGAACTCATTCCTGGGAATTTCCTCCTGCAGGGAGAGKAAAGGGCTTGGAAAGGAGAGGGAACACAAAAGCAGAATAATAAACCTGGTTTGGAGCACAAACAAGGCCCAGAGTAATTTTTTTGGCTCAAACTTCCCCGCCAGGAGCTGCCCCTCGGTGCTGCCCCACTCTGAGCCCCYTCCCATCCCTGAGGAGCACCAGGCTGGGAAATGAGCACAAGTCCAGGCCAGGGAAATGAGTCAGAGCAGATTAAAAGAGCTGAGAGACTGGGAAATGGCCACACCACTGGGAGCTGAGGCACTGGGGAGCAAAGCCAAGCAGCAGCAGGAAGTCCAGGGGGAAAAAAAAGGACAATCARAAAGGAGAGTCACCCATGTGGGCTCCCAGAGATCAACAGGAAGCAGCCACATCCATCCTCCTCCATGTGACAGCCACATGCCAGCCCTGGGACAGACTGGGGACAGCCTGCAGGCRCTCAGGGACATTTTTAGGAGCTCTTTCTGATCCAGGAGGAACGGCTGCCATATGGAACAAACATGGATAAAAGCCCCATCACTCACTGGTGCCCAAACAAACTGCAGGAGCCTCCAAAGGAACCATTGCTTGGGATAAGCTGCAGTTCCCGTTATCAGCTGGGGCTGTGATTATCCCAAAGTGCCCCAAACCTGAGCCAGGACAGCTCCAGCTGGGCCCAGACAYACTGGAATGGCTCCAGCAGCCCAGACAAAGAAGCTTCAAAGCCAAAGCTAAACTGGGAGTGGCTTGGGCTGTGCCACCTCCCAGTCCCTGCTCACCTACAGCCAAAAAATGGCCCTTGCAACAAATCCAGGGGGAAAACAACTCAGGTTTTGGAAATWTAACCTGAGATGTCCCCACACCTGGGTTGGACATTGGGTTGTTTTCCATGTGGTGCTGCAATATAAAAGATCCAAAGCTCSTGGAGTGTCCAAAGGATGGGGAAGGGTCTGAAAAGGCCACAGGAGGAGCAGCTGGGGGCAYTYGGATYGTCCAGCTGGAGGAGACTGAGGGAGACTCCCTGGGATTGCACCTCCTCCCTGGGGACAGCTCATATCACTGCTCTGGGACAGGGAATGGCTGGAGCTGGGCCAGGGCAGGCTCAGGCTGGAGAGCAGGGAAAGGTTCTTCTGTCCC